AGGTGACTTTGTACGTACTACTGAAGGTCTGAGAAATAGCACCGGGAGTAAAAGTACGCTGTGGACTAGAGCAGGATCAGCCACTTGAAAGGGAGTGGAGCAAGACAAACAGCAGGTGTGATGACGCCAGGGTAAATTCGCCAAAGGGCGTATTTCTTGTGGAATATAAACATGTCAGAAGTTGTGATAGGACGGGGTAGGAAATGGATAGAGGGACCAGGACAAAATGAGGAGTGGTAGCATAACCATCTTGACAGAAATTTTGTCAAGGGATTGACTTGACTTGTCTCTGACGAGTTGTAGCCTGGCTTGCTGAGCATGGCAAGACTGACTGATGATGCCAGCGAAGCGCCTGGGGGTGCACCAAGTCCACGATCCGACTGGAAATTATCATGCATACTATGGACTGCGGAAAAGTTGCGAAACCATGATCAAACAACTTGTATAAAACGAGAGGAGACCGCGACCATACAAAAGGCCACATCACTCTAGTTTTCATACCTTCGATGGATGCTTTTTTGTTCCTAAAGTTTGCACATGCCCTCTGCCGCCACGTTTCGCTTTGATTTTCGTGAATGCTTTTTTATTTGTAAGCTCTAGTTAAAACAAATCATTATCACACTTAACGGCATTCCCGTCACTTAATATACTGACAACTTATTTTAAATCAGCTTCCCATAATGGACTGATTAATTTGACAAATTAATTCCCATTACCTTTAGGTTCGCGAAAAAATGCCCTACAATCCGTTTCCACCCGCTCCTCCAAAGTCGCGCTTGGATGAAGAGTTGGAGCAGGGAACATACTTTTTGTCCCAAGCGGAGCAGCTTTCAGCACAAACTGGCGCCAAACTTCGAGCTTCAGAGGCTATTTCACGAAAGCGGCAACTCGAACAAAGGATGGCCGCCTTCATCCCACCAGAGAAAAAGATTCGTTACGACCACCTATCCCCGAGTAACAAGGAGTAAATGATAACCAAGTTGGTCTACGTGGATAATGAGAGCCGCTATTTTAATTTTTTGTAAGTCCGTGTACATTGCGTGTCAGAGTAATTGAACAAAAAGGTATCATATACAACGGCCTATTATATGTTTATGCGAGTAGCTCGAATAGGTCGCCGTTTTC